TAATTATTAGTAAAAAGTGGAGCTACATTAGTTGAGCTGATTTCAACACAACATAGTAATTATTAGTAAAAAGTGTAGCTACATTAGTTGAGCTGATTTCAACACAACATAGTAATTATTAGTAAACAGTGTAGCTACATTAGTTGAGCTTATTTCAACACAACTTTCAGATTTTGAATTGGATACCAGGAAGCGTGGAAACAGTAGTAACTGACAGAGTACGTGATGAACACAAAAAACGAAAGAAAGGAACATGCCATATTTGTCATCTTTGTGATCCATTACCTCATGCACTGTACTTATGATGCATAATTAACAACAAAAGAAAGCATAAAAGTAGTCAGTTGTCAAATCAGTAATAAAAAAATAGGCGCAGCCATATCAGGGCCTAGTTTTTTCGCAGTGGCGGGTGTTAAATAAAGAGTAATTTATTCTATAACAAGGCCAAAATGATGTTAAAAAATATTTTTAAAATAAAAAAATGCTGTTTTGTAACCCCCAAAAAAAGGAAAAGAAGAAACAAAACTACCGTAGTCTTTTCTGTTTACACAATTTGCACATTTTGTACCTCTAGAACAAGATTTGAAAATTCAATTCATCAGCTTTGGCTACTTCTGATTCTAGAATCACGTGAAGTTTTCCAAAAGATTTCAAAATTTTCCGTACCCTTACTTTTTTGTCCAGCAGTAAACAAAACTGATGAAAGTATTCTTTTAATTAGCAATATGAATGTGAAAATGAAAATTTAGTTTGTGCACTGTTGCAGAGTTTAATTTTCGAAAAAGGTAAATTCGACTTTAAAATGGCACTCAAATTAACACGTACTTCACCATTAAAGAAAGTACTGTCAAAAAAGTAAGCACACCGAGTGTGTAACAGACACTAGGCTGATGCTTGCAAAACAAGCACCTCGACTATGGCCAGGGGAACCTTACTTTATCACAAAGTTAAAGATATATGCTAATCCTAACACTAGTTGCACAAAGCAATAAACCCAATCTGCATCTACTCAGTGGGGCAGTTTCCTACTACTTTTTAATGTCAATAACAATTTTTATTGAAAGTATGCCACATCAATGGTGAATGAGAAAAAATGCTGACTAATAAAAATTATTCCCCCATTCATTCAGTCACTCTCATTCCCAGAATTCATTTTGCATAATTTAGCTCAGAACGAGTGTCGTACTGTGTCCCTGCTGCTTCCAGCTCTTTCTCCCACGTCATCCTTAAAGATAACTTGCTTTCCAGCCCCACGTAATCTACTCATGTCCCTGCTGCTTCCAGTTCTTTCTCGAACATCATCCTTAAAGATAACTCACTTTCTAGCCCCTCGTAATCTACTTGTGTCCCTGCTGTTTCCAGCTCTTTCTCCCACGTCATCCTTAAAGATAACTCATTTTCCAACCCCATGTAATCTACTCATGTCCCTGCTGCTTCCAGCTCTTTCTCCCACATCAGCCTTAAAGATAACTCACTTTCTAGCCCCTCGTAATCTACTTGTGTCCCTGCTGCTTCCAGCTCTTTCTCGCACGTCATCCTTAAAGATAACTCACTTTCCAACCCCACATAATCTACTTGTGTCCCTGCTGCTTCCAGCTCTTTCTCGCACGTCATCCTTAAAGATAACTCACTTTCCAACCCCACGTAATCTACTTGTGTCCCTGCTGCTTCCAGCTCTTTCTCGCACGTCATCCTTAAAGATAACTCACTTTCCAAC